AGTTGTATGGCTTACAAATACCTTTCTCCCAGTCTCTAGGTTGTCTGTTCACTCTATTGATTGTTCCCTGTGCTGTGCAGAAGCTTTTTGGTTTGATGCGATCCAATTTATCTATTTTTGATTTTGTTACCTATGCTTTTGGGGTCATAGTAAAAAAAAAAAAAATCACTGCTCAGACAATGTTAAGAAACTTATTCCCTGTGTTTTCTTCTACAAGTTTCAAGTCTTATGTTTTAGTGTTTAATCCATTTTGAGTTGATTTTTGTAACTGGTGTGAGATAAGGAACCAATTTCCTTCTTCTGCATATAGATGTCCAGTTTTCCCAATATCCTTCATCAAAGAAACTATTCTTTTCCCATTGTGTGGTCTTGGCACCTTTTTCAAAGAACAATTGACCATAAATGCATGGATTTACTTCTGGGCTCTCTATTCTGTTCCATTGGTCTATAATATCCGTTTTTAATACCATTACCTCACTATTTTGATAAATGTAGCTTTGTATCATATTTTGAAGTCAGGTAATACGATGCCTCCAGTTTTGTTCTTTTTAAGCAAGATTGCTTTGGCTATTTGGGTGCTTCTGTGGGCCTGTATACATCTTAGGGTTGTTTTCCTATTCCTGTGAAAAATGTCACTGGAACTTTGACAAGGATTGCATTGAACCTATAGATCGCTTTGGGTAAGTATGGACATTTTAACAACAATAATTCTTCCAATCCATGAACACAGGGTATCTTTCCATTTATTTATGTCTTCTTCAACTTCTTTCATTAATGGTTTATAACTTTCAGTATACAGACCTTTCTCCTCCTCAGTTAACTTTATTCCTAAGGGTTTTTTTTACACTTTTGTAAATGGGATTGTTTTCTTGACTTTCTTTTCAGATAGTTCATTGTTAGTGTATACAAACACTACTGATTTTTGTATATTGACTTTGTATCCTGCAACTTTTCTGAGTTCATATATTAGTTCTAGAAGTTTTTTGATAGAGTTTTTAGACTTTTCTATATATAAGATCAAATCATCTATAGAGACAATTTTACTTCTTCCTTTCCAATTTGGATACTTTTTATTTCTTTTTCTTGCCTAATTATTGTGACAAGAACATCTAGTACTATGTTGAATAGAAGTGGTGAAAGTAGGCATCCTGTCTTGTTCCTGATCTTAGAGGAAAAGCTTTCAGCTTTTCATTGTTGAGTATGATGTTAGCTGTGGTCTTGACATATGTGGCCTTTACTATGTTGAGGTACATTCCTTCTGAGAGTTTTTATCATGAAAGCATGTTGAATTTTGTCAAATACTTTTTCTACAATTATTGAGATGATCATATGATTTTTGTTCTCCATTTTGTTAATATGGTGTATCACGTTTATTGATTTGCGTATGTTTAACCATTCTTGCACCCCACGATAAATACCACTTGGTTACGGTATATGACCCTTTTAATGACTAGTCTTATGTTGAGAATTTTTATATCTATGTTTATCAGGGATATTGGCTTATAACTTTCTTTTCTTGTAGCATCTCTATCTGGCTTTGGTATCATGGTTATGCTGGCCTCAGAGAATAAGCTAAGAATTGTTCCCTCTTCAAGTTTTTGGAAAAGTTTGAGAAGAACTGGTGTTAGTTTTTCTTTCAATGGTAGAACTACATAATTTCCTTCCTTTTTAAGGCTTAATATCATTCCGTTGTGCATATATCCATTCATCTGTGGATGGACACTTGGGTTGCTTTCACTTTTTAGTGCTAATGTGAATAATCCTGCTATAAACATGGATAGACTAATATGTCTTCAAGTCTCTGCTTTCAGTTCTTTTGGGTATATAGCCAGAAGAAGAACTGCTGGACCATATGGTTATTCTACTTTCAACTTTTTAAGGAACTGCTATATTGTTTTGCACAGGTGCAGCACCATTTTACCTTCCCACCAACAGGGTACAGGGTTTCAATTTCTCCACATCCTCACCAACACTTGTTATTTGGTGTTTTTTTGACAGTAGCCATCCTAATGGGTGTGCGGTGGTATCTCATTGTGGTTTTAATTTTGCATTTCCCTAATGATTAGCAATGTTAAACATCTTTTCATGTGCTAGTAAGCACATTTGTATATCTTCTCTGGAGAAATTTTTATTCACATCATTTGCCCACTTACTAGTTGGGCTGTCATTTCATTATTGAGTCATGAGTTTTTTATATATACTACCTACAAATGTCTTATAAGATACATGATTTGCAAATATTTTCTTCTATTCACAGGTTGTCTTTTCACTTTCATGATGATGTTCTTTGAAGCATAAACAGTTATTGATTTTAATTAAGCTTGTTTACTTTTTCTTTTGTTGCTCATGCTTTTGGTATCACATCTAAGATCCTTTCCCAAATCCAAGGTCATGATATCTTACTCCTATGTGTTCTTCTAAAAGTATTATAGTTGTGGTTCTTATATTTAGACCTTTGACCCGTTCTGAGCTACTGTGGGGTGCTATGGGTCAACTTCCTTCTTTTGCACACGGCTACCCACTTGTCCCAGCACCATGTGTTGAAATCTTTTTCCACTGAGTGGTTTTGGCACACGGGTCAAAGGTCAGTTGACTGTAGATATGTGGCTTGACCACTTCTGAATCTTGATTCTGTTTTACCAACACATTAGCTATCTATCTCAACTGACAATTTAATAAGCATGCTTCTTATGTCTTCTTCATCCAGGTTGCTGTTAAAATTGAATAGACCAGTCCCAACAACAGAGCCCTACAGCAATATACAGTGTCCTCCTTTTTGGTTTATATTAAAACCTTAGTCAGGACTCCTAAGAACAACCTGCCAACCAGTTATGAACTCCCTTAAGTCTGCTATCATCTAGTCGTCATTCCCCCCATTATATCCACAAGTGTGTCACCAGTGTCACTCTGGATTATCACTCTGTAAAATGCCCTATTGGAATTAAGACAATGTTACGATAATAAGAGACTATCAAGCCGGGCATAGGTGACTCACGCCTGTAATCCCACACTTTGGGAGGCTGAGAAGGGAGGATTGCATGAGGCCAGGAGTTTGAGACCAGTCTGGGCAACACAGTGAAACCCCATCTCTACAAAAAATTAAAAAAAAATAGTTGGGCATGGTGGCACATGCCTATAGTCCCAACTCTTCAGGAGGCTAAGATAGGAGGATCGCTTCAGCCCAAGGCTACTGTGAGCTACGGTCAGGCCACTGCACACCAGCCTGGGTGTCTCAAAAAAAAAAAAAAAGAAAGAAAAAAAACAGACTATCAATGCAGAGGTAAAAGAGTAAATTAATCACCATTTTTTTAACTGTCCACATTTTGTTTAATAATCCTTTCTACAATTTTTACAAGAAAACATACTGATTTGCAATTTTTAGAATTAACCTTTTTTCAATTTTGTACTTTTTCATTTGTTTTCAATGATACATATAAAATTTTATTTATCTTCATGTGTTAACTCTTAAATTTCTACTTTATTACCTAGTCCC